TTCACAAAATGTCCCTTCCTTGTTCATTTGCATGCACTCGCGAACGTCTTGGCGATCACAACAGGATTGATTGTGTCCGCCATTGTCTAGTGACAGTGAACAAGCATGTAGCTGTTTAACTGATCTTTCTAAGGTATGTTTTGAGGCGTATCAGGGCAACAAAAACTTATTTCCGAGACTCATGTTTTTTAAAAAATGGAAGTTGGTCACGCATACAGCAAACTTGAATGCAGCAAAACCCAACTGACTCATTGGAAACCCAATCAACTAAAGTTTTGTGAAAAAATAGTGTTAATTTAAATCTGATTATAATGAGTTGACCGTGGGCGGGGGGGGGAGGTAAACGCTTCTGCCGCCTATGTTAGTAGTTGCAACATTTCAGTGAAGGGAAAGGCGTTATATCTTGGGGCCAATTAATTGCCCTTAATAATTAAAAAGCTCCTGTACTCTTTAATTTCTAAACACATAAGCTTACTGTGTAAGTCTTGATTCCTTGATGCCAGTTCAAACAGACGTTCAAAGCCGGAAGTGAGTTGATCGTATGATTTTCTCATCATAATACATTAAAAACATTAACACTTTTCATCTCGGTTAATGCTGGTTAAAGTTACAAGTTACGGTTAAAGAAGAGTTCATTAATATTGAAGGGAGAAATCATTTTCTTGGACTTCTCTAAAGGTTGGAGCTGCATTTTAAGGATAGCTACATGCGAAAATTGCTCATTAAATGCAACATTGCTGCACAGTCATTAGTTAAAGAGGACACTTAAAGGGGAAAAAACAGTTGATTTAGAGACAAGAATCCTTACCCTGCTATAGCTACAGCTTCGTTTCTCGCTTTTGACGTCCTTCCACTAGTTTTATCTCCTCTAACACCGCCCAACTCAGACCGACAGCGCCATTCTCCAGCATGCGCGACCTCAGGAATGTCTCTGTGTATGCCACATAAAATGTCCTGTCAAAAGAGCCACGGACCGACCCAAGGGTGGAACGGTGGAATGAAATCACCCCAGTCCTAAATCGCCCAACGGCGGAAAATTCACCCACAATCTAGAACGCGTAATATTAAAAAGAACGAAAGAAATAAAGAGGAGAAAGTATGGAGAAAGGGAGTACGCGTGCTGGCGTGACGAATTTTATTGCCATCATAGTTTTTCTTCTCTTTTCTTTTTTTACTTGCCTTTTGAACTGAAGTTAAGCCGTCATCCAGACTCATCGATATCAAATAATGAAATGGAATAATCTGGTTCATTTATTTATGATACACTTATTAATAAATCTGTTTTTATTTTCATTAGACTCACGTAATCGGAAACCATTTGAAACAGTTAACAGTCATGAAAAAAAAAAGAAACGAAAAAGCTAAAAATGCATGCATAAAGAGTCAAATCAAATCAAATTCCCTGGTAACCTATACATTACTACTATTAATATACTAACTATAAATGGCAGAATCTAAACCTAAAACTATTTACGGAATTTACAAGCCCTACACTTTAAGCCATGTTAATTTCAGCTTTAAAAGATCGCCTGAACGACGCAATGTTTTGTGATTCCCTGGCTTTTGGAGGTAACGCACTCCAAAGTTTGCTGGCTAGAAATGTAAAGGATCGATGCATAAACTCCAGATTAAAGGGAGGTAAATGCCGCCTTGTGCTAAGCCCACGTACATTGTACGGTACATCCTTAAAACTAAAAAAAAATACAGCGGCGCTCTAAAACTGTTCTCGGATTACTTACATCAAAAACGTTTGAGCTGCGACTTTATGGTGTTTAACGCTCCCGTTAGCGATCACTTCCTTAACGCTCATGGCCACTTTATTATTACGTGCCCTCCCTCAGTCTTTAAAAGGCCCTCAGATATAAACCAGAATTTTCTAAAAAGAAAAATTTTGCACTGAGTTGTAATTATTTATTGTATCCTAAGTGTTTTTGGGCGACAAACGCATATTTTATCAAGGAGTTTTAAAACAAAACTCGCCTGTTTATTGAATGGCTTAAGTGGCTAAATCCGCGAAAAGGCAACAAGAAGCGAATCCTATTTTCTGATTGGCTACCGGAGCGGGAAAGATGGACCCATCTTGCCTGCTCAGGACTTCCCGCGTTTGTTCCCCAAAGACAACTTCTCTTCTTCTGCTTCTTGGCCATTCTCTTTTGTTGCCTCGTTTCTTTTTGCGTTTCTTTTGATCTCGACTTCCTCTCGGTCCATAAAAACGCAGAAAAGAACCTGGCCCGAATATCTAGCCTTCTTGACCGAACAAGCTAGATAGATAGATAGCGGATACTTTATTGGTATAGACATGGCGCCAGAGGATAAATTGACTAAATTACCTATATACATGTAAAAGATAAAAACTACTAAATTACAGAAAACACTCCCGCCTTGCCGATACCCCACAATAAGGAACACCCCGAATATACGGACAGCAGCTACATGTCCTACATCCCCTGCAAAAATATATTAGAGATGTTTGTCTGATGAAAACTCCCGCTATTATAGATTCTTGATAATTGTACGGACTCAAGGTCCCTACGGTGTTAGCTATATAGGGAGTTTATTTGTATGAAGGGTATCTACATATACATAAAATATATAAACTACGAAGAAAGTTTTATCAGAAAACTGATGGCTATTCCATATAGCTAATGAGTTTACGCGAAGGCAGTGGAAACTAGAACAATTCCTGGCCCCGAAAGTTTTAAACTTGACATGAAAGTCCTGCCAAAAGTGATGGAGACGGTGATCTCTGTCCTCTAAGATATTATCGAAAAGGGACTGACACAGGCGCTGATGGTGAACGACTAGTAACTCTACAATCGGCAACAAAATGAGTTCAGACACTTCGCCCAAAACTGGGCTTTTTTATATTTTACTAACTTCAAAAGGAGGAAATATAGATTTCACTCCCCCATCCCCTCCGTGCAATGTTGTGCCGATGTTCGAGCTACCTACAAAGAACAACAAACACCCCAACTTTGAATGGAGGGGACAGGGGACGGGCGTGGATTCTTTTGTTCTCCTAAGTTACCCTATTTGAGTACAATGTCTCAACAATTTTGTCGCCGATTGTAGGTCTAACGAAGCTAGAGCGTTGTCGTAGGATAAGGTGGAGCATATGATGGAGAGTAACCTGAGATCAGGCCCAATTTTAGCGGTTCTCATACATTCTCTCTAACGGCTACCGCTAAAATTGGGCCTGATAGAAACTCTCTCACGTTTGTGCTCGTTACGGCCAGATTTTGGCCGTAACGCTGATTGGCTGTTAGAACAATGCCAAGATCTGATTGGCTGTCGGAAACGCCGGAAGTTGAAAGCGCTTATTCCTCGCGTGGTTGTTTTCGTGAATGATCCGTCGTCGGCGCAGGGAATGATCGATTTTGCTGTCTTTTTTATTGTTTTATGGTCTTATGGTAGCAAAATATGCCTTAATATGTGCCATGGAAATTCAGAAAACTCATAGGGTTGTTCATATCTTCTCAGGATTTGCTTTATTTACGGAACTAATGTGAGTTTATCGCGGAGTTGAATCCCTATGCAAGTTGTTGACCGATAACAAGGTGCCTTTTGATTTACCAACAAACGAGTGCAAATCAAAATACTGTCCATCTTAAAACTGGTTTCATTTGAAAGTTTAGCCGGGAATGATTTCTCTGAACGGGGTGCGCAAGCGGAGGCTCCGGCACTGCGAAAGAAACCTCAATCGCCAACTGTGAAGAATTAGACGAAAAATATCGCATCGCTGTTCAAGGAATTTTTGTAGGCATTATTAAAAAGGTAACAGACTGGTTGTTTGCCTTCGCTTTTTGTAAAAAATAAACCAGGAAAACTGGTGCCCTCGCTCGTTGGCTGTTTGCTTTTGTATTTAAAGATTTATGTACTGAAAATCGAGGGAAGTTGCCGAGGAAAATATTAAGGCAACAGAAAAATAGAAATTTCAGTATTTTAAATTCGATCGCGCCTAGCCAAAATAATAAAACTAGTAGAACATCGTGTCGCCGTCTTTTCGAAAACTTTTTACCTTCTTTGCCAACAGAAATAACGTTCGAGATCTCCCTTAATCTTGCAAGAAGTTGAATGTGATTGTGCTGACTGTTTTATTTTTAGCTGGAAAAAGCTTTTTTTAAGGCAGCCAGTCTGCATTTTTCCCACGCGTGAAAAATTTGCATACTAGAAAAAGTAAGTAATTTTAGTTGGCTGATTCGGCAAATGTCAATCAATCAAAAAAGTGGGCGGCAGACGTTTCGTAGAAGGTTTGTACCAGGCTCTCTTTTCGTTTCGTCTTGCCCGCCGGAATGTAATTTTCAAAGCGAAACGAAAATAGAGCCTGATCTCAGGTTAGATGGAGAGAGCCTTCTTTCGTACACGCCCCAAATCGTCGATTAGGAACTGAGGTAACGAAGCGTGAAACACAGGAATCGCGTAATCACAAACAGGAGCTAGACCTTATGCAGATGGTGTAAAATCTACTGAGCAGATCGGCCTTCTAGACATAAGCGCGCTTTAATTTCTAAGGAAATACAGGCGTTTAGATGCTTTCAATAACGCATATATATATACCCAAAACACACCAAATTTTGCTTTCATACAAACACCCACGGACCTTTTTTAAGAACCACAAATTTCGTGGTGATGCGTGTGGGAAATTTTTTTGCAAGGCGCGAAATACTTAGCCTGGGTCGCAGACTGGGCCTTGAGCGACAAGTCCGGCTGCAACGCAGGCTAGAAATACTTTATGCGAGGAAAAAGTTTTTGGGGCCCACAGTTTGTTTGAGGTTCAAGTATATACAGACATGCTGAGTCTTGTTTTAGAACTCACTGATGAAGTTTGAGACGTCAGTCACACGAAACACGTAGGATAAAATTGAATAGCTGGGCACTAAAACAGATCAGGGCAGTAATACTATAGTCAAATCCCGCTAACTCGAAGCAATTTACATTTCCCTTCAGATCGCTTTCTGTACAATTTTACTCTCGATAACTCGAACTATTTCCTCTTTTCGTCACAACATTACACATCTATTTGTTCTTGAGGATGTAGTGGCCTTTGATTTGGGGTGTCTCACTGCTAGTGTCTCCACTTGTTCCGCTTCCGGGTTCTCCTGTATTTCCCGTGTTGTATACGTATACGAGAGTGTTCTCCTTCGTATTTTCTCTGATTGGAGATAAAACTCTTCGAGTCTTTCTGCCCCTTGAACAGAAGCGACATTTGTCATATATTTTGTATCGTTAGCTTTTTGCGCAGTACCCATTTGAGACTTAAGATCTTGCTTCATCCTCTTCGCTTCCTTCTTCAAGAGTTTCAGTCTTTTGGCATCAGTCTCATCGGCTTTAACCACACTAACATCAGCTCCTAGCTTGACGAGCTTTTTTACAACTCGTGCGTTACCATGTCTCACTGCCATTTGAAGAGGAGTCAAACCTTCTGCATTACGGATGTTTATGTTTTGCTTCCCATACTTCATCAGAAGATCGATCATCTTACTGCAATCGCTGTTTCCGCGAGCTGACAGGTGCAATGGTGTACATCCGTCATAACCTTGAATATTTACATCCGCGTTGTGTTCAAATAACAATCTACAGAGGTTTTCGTTACCCTTTGAGGCAGACAGGTGCAAGGGTGTATATCCATATGCATCTTGGAAATTTACATCCGCGTTGTGTTTAAGTATCAATCTACAGATGTTTTCGTTACCCTTTCTGGCACACCAGTGCAAGGGTGTATTTCTATAATTATCTTGAATATTTACTTTCGCGTTGTGTTCAAGTAACAATCTACAAATGCTTCCGTTACCCTCTCTGGCACACCAGTGCAAGGGTGTATATCCATCTTTACCTTGAATATTTGCATCTGCGTTATGTTCAAGTAACAATCTACAGAGGTTTTCGTTACCCTTTCTGACAGACCGGTGCAAGGGTGTGAATCCACCTTCATCTTGAATATTTACATTCGCGTTGTGTTCAAGTAACAATCTACAGATGATTTCGTTACCCTTTCTGACACACCGGTGCAAGGGTGTGTATCCACCTTCATCTTGAATATTTACATCTGCGCTATATTCAAGTAACAATCTACAGAGGTTTTCGTTACCCTCTCTGACACAACGGTGCAAGGGTGTATCTCCAACAGAATCTTGAGTATTTACATCCGAGTTGTGTTCAAGTAACAATCTACAGAGGTTTTCGTTACCCTCTCTGACACACCGGTGCAAGGGTGTATCTCCAAAAGAATCTTTCGTATTTAGATCCGCGTTGTGTTCAAGTAACAATCTACAGAGGTTTTCGTGACCCTCTTTGGCACACCAGTGCAATAGTGTATCTCCAAAATAATCTTTCATATTTACATTCGCGTTGTGTTCAAGTAACAATCTACAGAGGTATTCGTGACCCTCTTTGGCACACCAGTGCAAGGGTGTATATCCACATTTATCTTGAATATTTACAACCAATTTGTTTGCAAGTAATAATTTGATGAGATTTTCGTGATTTTTTTTGACTGATAAGTGCAGTGGTGTGAACCCATTACTAATCTGTACATTTACATCAGCTCCATGTCTTAAAAGCAAGTACGCGGCCCTGTAGTTGTTCCAGTCAGCTGCTAACATTAGTGGTGTTTCTTTACTTTCTCTTCTTTGGGCATTAGCGTCGGCCCCAAGATCAATGAGGGTCTCAATGAACTGACTTGAGGATGAACGACTCGCCTGCAACAAAGCTGTCCAATCATTGTCTGATCCTGAGGCATTAATATCTATACCGCCATTTAACACAAACTCAACTGCTTGTTCCGCATCATCATGGCATGTAGTCCACTGCTGTTCAGTTATTCTACTGTTGTCCATAGCCCACTTGTCATTAAGTCTTTCGATACTAACATGACTTGGTTTTTTTCTCTTTGTACGAGATAAGGTGTCCGTTGCAGTCTTCCCTGAAAACAATTTGGCGTTACGTTCCGTTGTTACAAGTTCCGTCTCTTCTTCAAAGTTATCAAGAAGGCCATAAGCATTTAAAACAATGTTGTAATTTCCCTCAAAGACAGGAGCCTGGAGCAGATTAAGTCCAGATTGTTGATCGACTTGTGAGAAGGCTTTTCTCGCGAGTTTCCTTAGACTGACCTATAATAAAAATGATCATGATCATGAGGAAAATATAAAGATGGTTTTCATTAGACTCTAATTCTAAAGTACCTTTTTGATACATAATCGATTAATGGTGTTTCCGTGTATTGCAAATAAACACATTTTAATTTCAATTAAATTAAATTTTTATTTTTCACTGCATACGCGAGGAGAGCAGCGGGGAAGGACTAGTGGGGAACAGAAGAACCATACGAGCAACTCCTGACTAAATTGAAATATAACTTACAATGTAAAAAAAGTAACACATATAAACTGATAATTATGACATAAAACTAGACTATGATTTTATGCTCAGGTAACATGTGGGCGATCAGGATCAAAGTCCCTAATATTTTTTTTTGTAAAAATTTCTGCAACGTTTTTTTTTGAAGCAAGACAAGCCTAGGTCTTCAGTTCTAAGGTTCTCAGGTAAGGTATTCCTTAAATAACAACAAATGTAAGGTATCTAAAAGATAGAAGAGACTAAAAAACTCGTACGATGATGTATAGGTAACGTTAAACAATTTAGGTAGAACTCCATCTGAAAGACAACGTTTGGCAAAATGGATTAGGGAAGACTGACAAAATCTGATATCTTACTGGTTGATGAAGAGTTGGCCTGGCATCATTCTTCAGCAGCAACTGCACTATGGAGTGGTGGTTTTGACGTTCAGCTTTTTGCAGAGGTGTTCGTTGAAACTAAACACATTTAAGCAGAGTAATACGCGTTAATTCCCACTTGCTATTTACCACAGAAACATCTTAACCGTATACCTCTGTCTCCGAAACAAAAACAAAAACAATTTTACCTACAAAATTTACAGAGCCAAGCAATTAAAAGAATTGCGTCCGCGTTCAGTCCTGGACGCAAGTGTCGTAGTGTGGGTTAGATTAATAGTCTTGTAACAAGATCTAATGTCAGCCTTCAGAAAAAAGCATCAGCAAAAACAAACAAACAAAAAACGATGGTTATCCTGCGAGAACTAAGCTTTTTTTCGTTGTTTTTTTTGCCTTTTTAATTCTTTAGGTGATTTGGTCTTATAGGAGGGCGATTGGTAATAGTCCCCTCATTCATTTTCTGTTACAAGCGAGCTAAAATTCATCAAACCCCCTTTGACAGTTGAAAGTGGCTTATTCACTTTTAAGTGAATAAGCCACTACACCAATTAAAATTGGTGTAGGAGCCATAATGGAGAAGGCGCTTAAATATGTAGGAGAAAACGAGGAAACCTAACAATGACTCTGGTGAAGTGATACAAGTGGGACTAAAGGATACCACAGATGTAATTAGAGCAAATTTACCTGCCCAATGGAACATTCAATACAAAACGTTTTCTTCCTTGCCCTACCCCTCTCACGGCACTATATTACTCAAAGTAGTAACGTTCACCAACTCACCCTGTCTTTAGCGTTGACGTTTGCACCATGTTTCAACAACAGTTTGACGACAGATTCCTGTCCATACCAACAGGTAAGATGAAGAGGGGTCAAAGAAAACTACAAAAATAGGAAAAAAAACACAGATGAGGTTGAAGTAAGCCAGCTAGTGCAGTAACAATGGTGGCTTTTCAAGAACTTGCATGGTGAGATTTTACTTAACTTGTGAAATGGATAGTAGACTAATACGCAGCATTACACTGTAATTGAAAGAGTTGACTAATTTGAGCAATTTTTGCAATTTTCAGCTCCTTGCAAATTAATTTCAAGAGAAATAGCAGCCATCGAAAAATGCAAAATTGCTGTGTGGCAAAGACGTTAATGAGTTCATAAAATATTTGAGAACTTCGACTTTTTGTAACATAATTTCTCCGAAACTATTTGGTGTATCGGGCTAAGATTTTTACAGATAACTGAAATTGCTACGCTTTTTAACATTCAGAGAGTTTATTTTAATAGCTTGATCAGAAAATGAAAGGTATATGTTTATAATGAGGGAAAAATTGTAAACAAAGATTCGCCTATAGCATTGCTGGTGACAGTTACTTGAATGCTTCGCAACCTATGAGGATATCATCATCAGAGTTCTTGACCGGGCAATGGACAAATTCACCAGGACGATCAGGTTTAACCTAATGATGGCATTTTAAATGATGCGAGCTCTTTGTTTGACTTGCCCCAGTTCGTTTTTAAGAGCCTGATTTAACATGTGACTGGCCACCTTCGAAGGGCCTATTTTCCCGCTGGCTCGAAACTCCTTGCGAAACCAACACAAGAACTTGTCCGTAGGCTATTGCATTAGTGCGTCGCAGCCAAGTTGAGAACAGAATAAGAGAATCTGCTACTGAAGCGAACGCGAGAGGTAGGACTTAACGTAGGACTTGAATACACTGGAGAGGACTTAAACCTGATCTCTTTGATTCACATCGTCACCACTTTCAAGAAGCATTTTGATCGTCTCGTACCATCCGCTGATAGCTGCCTTGTGTAGAGGCCCTCTCGACGCCTGTTTAAAAAGTTTGATTAAATCAGAAGGTAAATAAACATTCTTCAACCAACATACCTAACTTACATTAGTTGATATTTTAGTAAACACCTCCTCTTCAGGGTAAAACGTTTCTTTCCAAACCCCTTCTAGCTTTCCCTAATAAGTTCCTCGCCACTCCAATAAAGTAAAGTGGCTCGCTGCTCAAACAGTTAAATAACGATGGTAATAAACCCAGGGTCTTCTGAATCTAATATATGTGCAAGTCTTAAACAAGATTCATTCTACATTCCTTTGAATGCACAATAACCCTACACTGCAATAAACGTCGCCCAGAACTTACTCTTGCCCTCTCAGCTCTTTCCATATGGGTCAGGGGCAGCTTCTTGTCCTAGGATGATAATTAACAAACTACAATTTATGACTGACATGATATTTTTCGGTGCAATCACACAACTTCAAACCAACTTCCTCTCATAGCCCATTTCGTCGAATAAGAAGCCGCACTCATATGAGCCCCCTCCCCGAATAAGCGCCCACCTTCTTTGGCCAGCTAAGTACCCTACTCCCCCTCAGTTTGTTAAATAGAGGGTATATCTAAAACTACTGAAGCCTCTATCTTTCCTAACTTGAATAAATGTCTTATCTCTTATGGCGGCATTAATACTGGACTACTGTGTTCTCCGTAAAGTCAGTTCAAGTCCCATTTCTAACTCCGTGTGTTTGTAGTATGTAAATTAACTGCTCATATAAAACAAAATTTGCGCCAAATTGTGACGATGGGTTTTGCACTTCCAAGCACAAATCGGGGACTTAAGCGTAAAGAGAACTCGAGCGACTTCGGCGTAAGAACAACAAGGGGTAAAACTAACTCGCAACTCGCTTGGCTAGCGGGAAAGGAACTCGTCACTATTCCAAGGTACCGGATCTGCTACAACTGGAAACAGGACAGGACTCAAACTTGGACTTCAACAGTTTAATCTTCAGCTCGTTAACGTAACTAGTACAATCAATTAAATCCGCAATTTTAAAATCGTACAAGCATGTACAACCGCAATGTAAATCGTACAAGCATGTAACTCCGCGATGTTAATCGTACAAGCATATAACTGCGCAATGTAAATCGAAAACCAGGAATAACAGTGCTCTATTTATACTAACCGATCAACTTATTACAACATCACAAAACAAATGGAAAGAAGGCTGAATAAAATCAGCTGAACACCGAAAACAAATCTGGGTAAATTCAATTTTAAAATCCATATGTTAAACTAAAGAACTCAAAATTAAATGTCAGTCAAGCAAGTGAATTTAGGAAATTTACAAAGAAAGCTGTGTAAAAGAGTTAGAATTTCCTTTGCTCAGGATTCCCTAAAATGTCAAAACCAAAAACTACGAACGGTTGGTATTTGAACAGGCGAAAGGTCTAGTTATTCAGTGACTAAGCTGTATATCTATTCAGAAACAAATTATCTTTTTAAATGTAAACATTGAAGTAAAATGTATATAATTTAAGGAAACTAAAACAACTCAATGCAAATTCAATGTAAATTATGGCTAACAAACCTTAAAAGGGAATATTTAAAAGCAAGATATGAAATTCGAATCAAATAAAGAATACATGGGAAATCTCTCCTTACAAAATTAAGTTTAATCCCGAAAAAGGAAAAATGTATAACAAGCTACGATAAAATGCGCTCTTTAGGTGCTTTTCCCTTTCCGACTGCGTGTCCTAGTTAGCCTGCGTAGCAAGCATTTACGAACGAGTTTTGGTGGTAACGCTGCAGCCAGACCGAAAAAGAGGGGTTTCAATTTTCTTGACGAACTCTCACTGGAATACTTGAAGCGCAGGCTACGCCCTCCTATGATATACTCCCCTCCATTTTGGACAACATTTGATTTAAGAACCAGAGTGCTTATTCAAGGAAATAAGCTAATCACTGTGGTATTTGTTTGGTATAGCTGCAACTAATTAAAAACTTACTGTATAATCTATTGATAAATATTTTTCGATCTTCAACTGACCGACTTGCCAGAGGACTGCTTCTTTATATTGCTCGCGTTACCACTTCCCCGCCATAAAAAAAGAAAAAGAAAAAAATGAACAACACCTTACTTTTGCAACACCTGAGCTCTTGTCACTCCACCCTGTATCTTCTAGTTGACCTGGGTAAGCTGTTTGAGATGAAGTGTCATTGATACCTGCGACACCTAGAAAAAAAATCCCAATAACGTTCAATGGTAACGCCCAGGCAAACATGATTTAATCAGACATCCTTGGGGAATGCTTTGGTCTTCGTTCAATACACGATGTCCGCATAAAACGGGTGGAACCCCGCCCGGGGTACTCCCTATGATGGCCAGGGAGGAGACTTTGCCTGAAAGAGGTACTTTTGTCAGGCTTCAGGGTTATGAAAGGGTACGAATTTTAAGCGTTTAAGTATATGAAAGAGTAGGGAAATCTGTCATTTAGGTATTTAAACTATTTTGAAAACACACCTTAGAGCTGTATCGTTTTAATTTATTAGACGGTTTATATAATGAGAAGAAGACTGTTAGTTGGTATGTTGGAGAGGCAACATTTTTCAATGGAAGGTAATAATACAAGTTAGTTGCAGCCAGGGGGCGGGGGGAAGGTGCCTCCAAGGAAATCGGTGGTTCAGTCCGCCTGTCAGTATGACTTCACGTCTCGCGTCGGTGACTTCTAAAATGGCGAGCAAAGTGTTCATCGAAGAGACGGATAAAAATTTCGAATTTATCACGGAAATACTGTTCCGATTTCTTGGATCTGGAGATTTTTAAATCCCTATTGTCCTAGAAAAACAGACTTTGGTACTTTTTTGGAATGAAACGTTCAGTGGTGTTATGAATTTTTAAGATTTCTTTCTATCGTCGAGCAAATTTACAGGCAATCATACCGAACTGTAACACTTTGAGGGCCAGTGGACACAAGATGAAAGAATGTTGACACAACAATAAGAGGTTCATCAAATGGAAATATATCATACAGTCGAGTCCCGATAACTCGAACCCTCGCTAACTCGAACCTCGCGCTGACTCGAACCAAAATCGATTTCCCCTGGATTTCCGTCATACTTTCACGGTAATTTTACTCTCGGTAACTCGAACCCTCGATAACTCGAACTCCCGCTAACTCGAACCAATTTTCGTTTCCCCTCAGGTCATTTTCTATAACATTTTACCCTCGATAACTCGAACCATGTTTTGAGCCCTTAAAAAGTCGGGAAAAACGCCGTCTGCTGGCGTCCGAAACTTGAATTTTGGATTTCCTATGAACGTTTTGTAGGAGTATAGTTTACTACTAGAGGCTGATGTTGATTGTCACAGGCTAACGTGAAGCAGTTTTACTTCTCAAAACAGTAAAAGGCATGCTCTATTTAGGCCATGTTTTGTTACGTTACGTTCTGATTTATAATCTAGAAGTATCTTTTAATTTTCACTCTACATTTCTACAATTAAATGTGATTAAAATGTTCACTGTGCAGTAAAAACTGTTTTTTACCTTACTCTCGGCTATTTTCTTCGAGCTCCCGATAACTCGAACTCCTGATAACTCGAACTTTTTTCGATTTCCCTTGAAGGTTCGAGTTATCGGGAGTCGACTGTACTTTACATTGTGCATATTTTCCGCTCTTCACAGGTAGTGGAAGTTCGCTTAGCTGGTAGCGTTGAAAGAAGAAGCTGAATGACGGGTATTTGTGAGAGACTGTGAGCATTGAATCTTGTTGCTTTACCGAATTTTAATACTGTACTGGACATACACCTGTAATTCTGTAATTAAATCTCGAACACCAATAAAGGCTTCGCTTGATTATTATTTTGGCGTAAACCCAGTGGAGATTTTAGGGTAATAATATTGTTATGATTAAGACGAAGAACAAGAGGCAAGTTAAATTTCGCCAGTGGTTGTTGGGTATAAATTAGAAAAGTTTGTGTTGTACTAGTTTAGTCCCTTTTCTAAAATATAACTCCGGACTAAAGCTTAAAATATATATTGATCCAAGTGCATGATCAGCAGGGTCAGAAGTACGAATAAAGAAAAACAGGCCAAAAGGAAAATAGGACCAAAAAACAAAGACTAAACAGAAAAAAAAAAAAGAAAACGATGCAAAGAAACAGAAAATAGCGTCGCCGAGAGTCGAACCCAGTTCATCTGAAGGTGCAAGCACCTCCTTGACCACTGCACCACAATGCCACACACACGCACACATGTTTTGAAAAATTAATTTGGTTATATCAAAACCATTTTTCTCTGCCATAGACGCTTTTTGAAGCTGGCGGAACTGTATTTATCATGAATTCAAATATACATTTGAGGAAAATTAGCTCAAGCGCGTATTTCAAAGCTATATTTGGCATTATTTCCGCTTCAACAGGCCGATCGATGCAGATAATCCACAAACTAGCTTTACTGAATTTGTGGCGAATTAGGAAATCAACAGAGGCCCTCACTCAAAAGGATTGATACGAAGTTAGGTCGCTTTAATTAGCAAAAGAATAGATGAAATATAAACATGTGTGATCTGTGAATGGAACCTCCTATTCTGGACACTAGACCTTGCCTATTTTAGAGAAAAAAGGATTTAAGTTTTGATGAACTTGCTGGTCCCGTGAAAAAGATGGCGATCTCGCAACACGGCCCGCAAAACAAATTAACAAAATTATACAACTACGGACACAAAATATCAAAACGGTTTACACAAACAGATCATAGCAGCAACAAAGCTCACACACTTGCGATCAAATTAGCGATATATAGCGATATTTGCAAGCTTCTTAGCTTTTCCTCGACCTCGCTCGTCCTAATAACTGTGGTATCCCTTGCTAATTTGCACAAGCGACCCGTGGCTCTTGCCCGTTACTATGTGACGTCACCCCTGGGTGCAGCCCTTTCTAGTCGCCCTCTATATTCAAAGTTCTACTTTCTACACAAGCAGTTTATTTAGAAATGAAACTGCTATCACCATGGGAAGAAAGGCATTTTTCAAAAGTGACTGGTGTCCAACTCAGTCAGATGAAAAAGGAACAAAAACACGACGGACGAGTACACTGCGTTGTCAAGTACTGTTCTATTAAGTACTTGGATAGCAACCAAACTTAACAAAAAAATAATATCGCTACAAAGCAGTTTGGCAGCGACTTGATACACTGACATGCTCCATTATCTTGCGTTATGCTTGAAAATGCCCGTTTGATTGTATAATTTTCATGAATTTTGTGGAGTACGTTGCTATAAAACACTAAGAGAGCAATTATTTCAGTTTCTTATCTAAAGAATAATTGCCCAAGAAAATTGCTAACAGACCAACTCACCTGACTTTTCCGTAAGAGCTTTTTGGCAAATCAAATAGTTGTCAACCTCAATAATGGTCTTTAATTTGACGGTCTCCAAATTGATTTCTCTCTTTATGTCATCAGTGACTATTAACTTCTCTGCAGCTTCATTCAGGACACCAGAATGGTAGTCATTCCAAAGACTTTCGAGACTGTGCAGGTCGAGGCACTGGCCTTTTATTACCAACGATCCCATACCCACAGTTGTCAAGGAAAAGTTGTAAGTACTTTCTAAATGCTTAACGAAATCACTCAGTCCATTGGCTGTAGAAAGCTTGGTTGTTTTATTGTATTTCAAGTACACTTCAAGTTGATATCTTAACATTCTGCCCACGACGTCCTCCAGTTCACTACTTAAATCACGTGTGGTGATTGACATCTTTACAGTGTTTGCTGTTTCTGAAATTAGTGATAAAAAGCATCACTGTAAATCCTCTATTAAGCCCCCCCGAGGCTTATTTATTTCAAGCACATTTGAGGAGGGGCTTAATAGAGACGGGGGGGGGGGCTTATTTAATTTGAAATAGAGAAGGCATCAGTTCTCCACAAAGAACTACTGTAGAATACAAAGTGGAAAAGCTTAAAGTACAAGAAGTCTTAGGTCATGCAGCCGAGGATCAGAATCAAATCCGAACTTCAAGTTGGTAAACAAACCATCCCAAATCAGTCCACACGAAGTTTTACGGCCGTGATTGATTAATACAGTGTATCATTATTTTATTAGTGAAGAATAATTAGGGGTGAGGAGTGGGGCGGGCTTATTAACGTTCTTCCCCTGAAAAGAGGGACTTATTAGTGGGAAGGGGCTTATTTGAGAGAGGGAGCTTAATAGAGGATTTACGGTACTACAGGTTAGAATACTTAACAATTATTGAATGAGGCTGAGTATCATCTGAAGAATGGAAATCGAGGGGGGTGTTATCCGCCGAAGCCGTAGCCGAGATCTCCATAATTCTTTAGATTATAATAAAGCCGAATTCAATAATTGTTTTATTATTCATTTAAAATATTTCCTAATTACAAAAAAAAACAAAACAAAAAAACAAGCTAAAACAGGCTTACCTCCATCGATGTTAAGTTCATCTTCGATAGCGTATGTTTATCGGCAAGTTTAGGAGATAAAGGGTCGTTCACCTCATATTCTCCAAATAGCAGACGTCGTCCTTCGAGTTGTCTTCTTACTGTTCTTGCTATTTGGCCAATTTCGCCTATTTCTTCCTGATGAAACGAGTGAAATGTTCCGCCATTTTTGCTCTCACTAACAAAACAACTCAACGTCGTCCCCCGGTCTTTTCGGTTGACGGTTCAATAATCTGGCAATTTGCTCCACTTTTGGCGTCATTGGTTCAATATCGCAAAGTATTCTTCCAGTGTGGTCTAAACAGTAGCTGGTTATGATGAATTATGCGTGTGATTTTAGCCAATCAGAAACGGAGAAATACTCTGAATGAATACTGCTTCTTATTACGATTATATTGCTTCTTTAACAACACGTTTTTTGTGAAAAAGCATAAAAGTGTGGTTTTTTTTTAAACAAACAGAGCATTTTTCAGCCATAAACGACAAATAAAACACAGACAACAAAATATAATAAAACAGGTATTTTAAAATGGGCCAAACACTCGAAAGAGTTAAAAAGTTTGACAGCTCTTCATTCTAATTCCATACCTTGGTCAGAAGTGCACCCTGAAACACTAGGAGTATGGCAAATTGGGCGAGATTCTTCACTTAATCTGGCTGCATCCTCAGTATTAATCTTTTCATTAACTGGACATTGCTCTCCTGAGAATCCAGAAGCTAAAGCATGTGTTTTTGCAACAGGCTGCTTTTCAGTGACAGAAACACCCTCTGGTATGTCAGAAGCATCTTCCAGTGTTTGAACAATATGTTTTTGTAAACCATTTACATCTCCACCACCCATAACCACGCGTATGAAACTACGTTCAATGTATCATTTTACAGTAATCAGTCTAAAATTTTGACGGTCACAGGATACAAGTGTGACCCATAAATTTGGTGAAGACCCTTATTCTACGTATCGCTGGTCCTTTTATGCATTTAAATCCAGCTTGACAACTTCCCATACTATTTTAAAGGAAGCGCGCAGAAACTTTTGGGGTCCAGGAATTCAGGGTAAATTCGATTGTGAAACCTAACATATAACTTTTTAAAGTAATACAAATCCATTTTAAGATTACATTCCAAAACGGTTCCTTCTCGGTCATACAGGAAGCCCTTTCAAGCTTTAAGGTACATTATTAGAAAGGAAAAGCAGGTATCTTAAAATTTCAAGTAGCCAATTTTATTTTTGCATGTTTGTCACTGCCCAACACAAAATTGCCTGTCTTTGTATATTATCCTTTAGAAGCGTTTTAAAAGACAATACTAAACTTGAAGTGACGATCTACACTTAAAAGGAATCGTACGTGATTTCTAAGGAAAGTAATCTTTTAGGATTGAGGGGTATATTATTCCATATTTATTTACCAGCTCTCACTTTTCACGATAAAGATAAAAAAATTCTGGGACAATTCGTACAATGTACTAAATTTGCAGAGAGAACTGATAGTACTGTACCTGCCTGCACACTCGATAATGTGGTCAAAGAACTGCATGTATTAAGTGCTTGTGAAAGACTATCGCTGCATTCTTACATTTGCGTATAGAGTGCCACGAAAACTATACTAGAGTAATGTCTACACAGAAAATAACAAACACCCCAACTTTGAATGGAGGGGACAGGGGGTGGATTCTTTTGTTCTCTGAAGTTACTCTATTTGATAACAATGTCTCAACAATTTTGTCGCGGACTGTAGGTTGATATTCCTTGAGAATCTATTGATTGGACAAGAAACAAGTGTCCTTTTCCCCATTAACGGGTGTCCGTGTATTAAGAGAATTTAGAGAAAATGTAAGGGCTTTACCCAGGGACAAAGGAAAGTGTTCGTAATAAAGAGATATCCGTAAAGCGGGGTTCGACGGGGTGACAGTTTTTTCGAAATCATTGCTACGTACTAAAAGTTTTCGCCCCTAAATATCCAGGTGGGCTATCTTTTCAGAAAAACACTATTCCTGAACCTTCATTACTACTGCACCAACCTATCAAAATAATTAGCTTGTTCCATTTACCTATACTAGAAGTTGATCCTGCAATGTTTTGCAAACTCCAGCTGTTAAGAGGTTCCTTTCTCAGGGAAGATGCATCTTCATGTTTAGCTATCTTGGAGGGCATATGCTTCTTAAAAAAGGTTCCGCTATCCTCACTTGAAGTACCTGCATTTAAGAGACGGCTCTTGTCAAGGTATTCATCAATTCAGAATATCTACTCAAGCAAATTCACCATAGCCAAAGAGCATTCAAAAAACTCATCCAAGCCCCCACAAAGGAACTTTAAGGCGATATCACAGATTCACAACTTTAGACACATACTTGAATGTCTAAGAAATGATACTGTTTATAACAATTCGATGAAAGATACAATTTGCAAAATTGGGAATTTTGTTCGCATATATTTCTGAAAACATTCGTCACTAAGCTATTTTTAATGGCATAGCGGAGAATTCAGGACTTAAACCACTTTAGGAGATCACTTTTTTGCTGTTGCTGCTCCTAAACTTTGGAATTTGTTTCCTTTTGCGATATAAAGAAGCCCCTCAGTTGCCATTTTTCAGGGGCAACCAACGACGGTTTCCTACTAAATACAGTGAAAAGCCTTTTTAGGCTCGTAGCTATCCAGAGTACTTTTAGATCTCTAGAAACGTATTCTAAGTGGTGCTATAAAGTTCATATCTGTTCGGTCATCCTACGGGAATTTGAAGCTTTTCGAAATTTCAAAGGCTACAGTGTTATTTTCCAGAAAAGTTTAGATGCAATTGAACGTTTTACGAAAATGATAATTTTTGATTTCTCTCTCTCCATCACATTTTTGAAACCGAGAATTTTAGGTTTTCTTTTCTACGAAAATTAGCCTGACATAAGGATCGAGTAAAATATGAAAAAATTAAACTTCAGAAAATCGTAGGGAATTTTGTAGATAAGCTTCGAAAATAGTTTGTACCTGAATGGAACGATCATCTAGAAATTATTAGCCGTATTCAAACAATAGAAAATTCTAGGTAATATTTACTTCTCCGAACAGATATTTTACAGAAAACGGTCGTTAGCTAGGTGCTCCTGATTTTTAAGAAGGCACTCGAGCCATTTTCATTCCAGATAGCTTTTGTGTAATTTGACGTAACGTTTTTACTCGTTTTTAGTAGGTTTCATGCCGTAAGTACAGTTTGAGTACGCAAAATAATTTTTCTAATTTTTAGTGTTCGACATATTTATATCTTTAATATATTTAAATATTTACTTAAAAACGTTTTTTATAACCAATGATGAAAATGGCGCCTATCAAGCGTCTGTTGATATCGGCACATATAAGTTTTACTATTTATCAATAAAACACTTGTATAGTATGAGGGTAAACGGTAACAAGTCCTGTAGGAAAAAGCACCTTTGAGTAATCTAACAATCACTTCCCTCCTCCCTCCTTTAGTTATAGTAGTGTACTATTGAGTAATAGCAAGAAAAACAACTCATGCATTTGCATACCTGGATTACAAGAGAATTCAAGCATTTTACGCTTACGGCTATTTTTAGACTGACAGTCTGTATTCGTGGATATTTTAGTTGGATTTCCTGATGCAGCATCAGCTTTCAATTCACAGTCACTACGAAGGGACGTTTCTGAAACAGGCTGCTCGTAGTTAGAAGTGTTTGTTCTTTGGTTGTTGTCAATTTCCATAGAGGGCTCTGCAAAAACAAGCTTTGGTTACAATAATAATCTCTTTGAAACTTAAGGCTTAGTCAATTCCAGGTGTGCCCATTCCTCCCCGGGGACGACATTTGTTAGGCATATATTAGGTTGTGTATTCCTAAGATAGAACTCAGTGGTCGGCGTTTCTCCCCCGTCCCTATTTTTTCTTTCTTTAGTGCGCCTCCCGTGCGTCTTCCACTTGGTTAAGAATGGACAGAAATGATTTCTAGACATGCTTTCTACGAAGATGCCTTCATGGTTCTCAGTCATGTCTTACATCCTCTGAGAAGGGTTGCACTTTGTTTCTTAGGAGTTCCGGGCCTTTAGAGGATCGGATCTTCTGTTGCAACAAAATGGAGAAAACATGCTATTGCCAGGAAAATGTGTATATAACCACAATCAAATATGTGAAGTGCTGTAAAAAAGGACTATGACCGTCTTTGACAATAGCCTGTTCCAGGCTCCAAGATAGTGGGGAAAACGGATCGAAAAAAAGTGCCAAAAACAGCGGGAGGACTGAGGAAAGAGAGTGAGGTGGAGCCTGTAAGCATTGTTTTAAATACCTCATTCCGGTATACCAGCTTCTGATATACCCTCTGATTGGTTTATTTTTGACAGTTTACTTCAACACTTCCATCATTCACTTGGCTTCGCTCGCGCTCAATAAACATCGAGAGCAGATCAGCCGCGCGTGGTTTCAGTGAATCGAATTCTCGATAATTGTCTCAAAGATTTCCGAAACATTGATGCGGGTTATTTGAGCAAAATCTGGGCTGCATAATTTGACTAGGAGGAAAGACGTTTTTGCCATGCTTCCCACCGGTTTGGGCAAGAGCATAATTTTTCAGCTGTTTCCTTGTGTTGTTACATGTCCTTATATCTGAAAAGCCTT